ACCTATATTAACAATATGTTAGAAATCACAAACTTTCCAATTATTCAAACAAGCAAAACATTTTAGACATCAGCTAAAAATTTTGTGAAGGATTACCTGGCTTTAAAAAATTATTTTAGTGCCAAAAAAAGAGACTCTTGAAAGAACCTTTAAAAACCCAGAGACAAACCTCCTATGAACACGTCATAGATTCATCGGGCTGCAGGAATGAGCAGGAGCCTTTCTGGTTCACCTCTGTCATTTTCAAAAGCCTGTGTCTAGGTCACGTGAGACTTTGTTCCAACACAGGACATCTTCGCACATCAGGAGTCTTGCCAGGAGTGTTACTTGGCTAGGTGTAGACTCATTTCTTTTGACCTTAGTTTTCCCACCGAATCATGAGGATGAGAGTCGCTTTCTTTCTTTTCAAAAGTTTTCCTCTCTTGGTTGTTCTGAGGATTCATGAGTTAAACATTTGTTAAGTACTTTGCAATTATTGGCTGAAAGTGCAAAGTTTTATTTATTATTGTTGAATGGGTGAAAGGTATACAAGTCCAAAGCCTTGTTTTCTCTCCTGGGCGCACTGCACTATCATGCATTATCATAGATGCTTACTCCTTGGAAGGAAAGTTATGACCAACCTAGATAGCATATTAAAAAGCAGAGACATTAGTTTGCCAACAAAGGTCCATCTAGTCAAGGCTATGGTTTTTCCAGTGGTCATGTATGGATGTGAGAGTTGGACTATGAAGAAAGCTGAGTGCTGAAGAATTGATGCTTTTGAACTGTGGTGTTGGAGATGACCCTTGAGAGTCCCTTCGACTGCAAGGAGATCCAACCAGTCCATCCTAAAGGAGATCAGTCCTTTGTGTTCATTGGAAGGACTGATGCTGAGGCTGAAACTCCAATACTTTGGCCACCTGATGTGAAGAGCTGACTCATTTGAAAAGACCCTGATGCTGGGAAAGATTGAGGGCAGGAGAAGGGGACGACAGAGGCTGAGATGGTTGGATGGCGTCACCGACTCGATGGACATGAGTTTGGGTAAACTCCGGGAGTTGGTGGTGGACAGGGAGGCCTGGTGTGCTGCGGTTTGTGGGGTCGCAAAGAGTTGGACACGACTGAGCGACTGAACTGAACTGAACTGACATGCTTAATCCCTAGAAAACTCGCAACCCCCTCCTCTCGCAGGGGCTCCTCATTTACAGAAACTGTGACAAACTGGGCTAGCAGAGGACCCCTGGGAGAGGACTGTCGGCTCCCTATGTCTTCAGAGAGTTCGCATCTGCCTAACAGCTGTGACACCCTTTATGTCTGGCTGGACTAGCAGTTCTTACTTAGTTCTCTTTTAGCAAGAGTGAGCGGAGGGGACGAAGACCCTGGACAGTAAGGGAATCAGGAAAATTGAGCTCTTATTTTGTTTTTATTTATTTATTTTTAAATTAGTTAATTTTTTTGGCTGCGTGGTGTGCCATGTGGGGTCTTAGTTCACGAGGGATCTTAGTTCCCAGACCAGGGATCAAACCCCATGGCCCTTGCAGGGGAAGCTCGGAGTCTTCACCACTGGGCCACCAGGAAAGTTCCATCAAGCTCTTTTTTTGATCTGTCTTTGTCCACCTTGCACAAGTCACTTCACTTCTCTGAGGATTATTTTTTTCATCTGAAAAATGAGAGAGAGTTGGAATAAGTAATTCCTTTGATTCTTTCAAACTTAAAATCTCCTTTGAGTACGTCAAAATGCTGAAAAACTCCCCTGAAGATATCAGCATATTGGTGTGTATCGTTTGGTGTTATGTACCAAGAAAAGTACCAGTGAATTAACTGCATAAGAGATACTGCTTTCCTAGTACCCCTAGAGTGAAGTTCTTTATTTGATCCCGGTTTTCATGGTAGATGTGCTTTATAGATCCGTGCAGCTGCTGACGGGGGTGGTTGAGGTGACTATGGCGGTGGTGAAGGCGGTGTGCTGACGGACGTGTGAAGGTAGTCCTGACTGGGCAGTGATGGTTATGATGGATGGTAGTGATAGTGTAAACCTCACAGTGACCTTGAATGAAAACACATATATCGATGTTTTCACCAGAGTCTGTTCATCTTTATGATCCCCATGATCTTTAGTGTATTGCCTTGCACTAAGCAGGTAGTCAGTACCTGTTTGATGAAGAGTGAAGAGTAGCTGGCAGATGACTACATCTTGCCCTAATATCTAAGGCAAAAACAAACGCTCCGGTGAAGATCTCAGATTTAATTTCACTTAATGTAACAGGCTTTCTAAGAAAACTGTGATGATATTAACACTATCACTGAACTCATTTTAGCTGATGTTGCTCATGCTCATCTCTCTGGAGAAGAATGAAAGCTTGCTCAGATTACAGGAGGACCTTTTCTCAAAAGTAGTGGAAGAAAAATCATTGAAGTAAATCTACTCAAAACTTATCAAAAATTTATCAGAAGAAGCTTGACAGGACACATCTGAAAATGAAAACTAGAAACTATGAAAATAATTTAACCTTTATGCAACAAAATTTAGGCTACTGTAGAAACTATGGCCTGGTCCTTGAAATGCACAAGGACTGAACCAAGTATTGCCTTTTTTTCCTCCCAGAGGGCACATAATTTTTTCAGCAAAAGTTAGCAACATGGCTGAGTGCCTTTGCTGCTCACTTGAAACTATCACAACATTGTTAATTGGCCATACTCCAATACAAAATAAAAAGCTTAATTAAAAATAAAAAGAACAAAGAGCTACAAATAAAATTCAGAGCTAAGGAAAAAAAAAGCTAAGGACATACAGAACACTCAAGATGTAGAAATATTCAGTTTCAGTGTTTTTCCCCAATGCCTTTCTTAATCTTTTGGATTCTTAAATAATTCCACGGACTCAAGATCATCCTGGTTGAATTTTTCTACTTCAATTATTAGCTGGTTTACCAGTTACACCAGATTCCATAAATATTTTATTCTCTAAAAACAGTTGATTTAATCAAGTCTTTCCTCTTTTGCAAGATTTAACCCTTTTATTTTGCATTGTATGAGTGGATATACAACTTCCAATAATCAGAGACACTCTCAGAGTTAAGAGGGAAGAGATGCTTGAATATATATTTTAGGGGATATTTTCATTACACAGTAATATTTTCATTACAAGGTGATTTTTGCTTTCCTGTAACACAATGTTTCAGTGGATGTCCTGGTCATTAATATTCAGAACACAATGACACATTTTATCAAGCCAGCATCTGGTCAGCATTACTGAAAGAAACTTACTGTGGCAGATAATTGTCTCCGAAGATGGCTGCAACGATCGTTCTCATCACATAGGCGCATTTGACCATGTGACCTTACTCTTCTCTGATCAATAGATGGCATCTGTATCTCTCCCTTGAACCTGGGTGGACTTTTGCGGCCTTTCTGCCAAAAGAATATGGTGAAAGTGACTCAATTTCAGATTATAAAGGGTGATACAGCTTTTTCCTAGCTCTCAGGCTTGGGACACTGTTCCTAGGACTGAGCTGTCGTAGGGTGAAGAAACCCAGGCCGTATGGAGAGGCCACTTGTAAGCGTTCCAGTTGACAGTCTCAGCTATAGTTTCAGACAACAGGCAGAATCAGTACTAGATGTGTGAACGAGACAGCCTTTGAGATGCTCCAGCCCCAGCCACCACCTGACACCAATTACGTGAGAGCCCTTGAGGGATGACCACCACGCTGAGCTCAGTCAACTCCTAGGACCGTGAAAGATGATAATAAAAAATCACTTTGATCATTTTGCACCACTAAGCTTGAGGTGGCTTGCTTGGCAGGAATAGATATCTGAAACACTTTAATGTAATTGGCCTTTTGCATGCTTTTGATATAGCGAAGCTTTAAAATGATAACCCAGAAATCATAAGGACTGCAGAATTCCTGTGCCCAGGTCTGCTGCCCAAGCCTAAATATTCTTAGAGAGTGGTGGTGAGCAGGCCAAGAAGCGGTTCTTCATTTCCCCGAAAATCGAGACATTCCCGTGAGGCTGTAAACACTGTCGTGGCGACAGGAGTCTGGTGATGCTGTTTTATTGGCTGCACTGAGTCTTCGTCGTTGTGCGCAGGCTTCTCTACCGTCCTCGTCTCACTGCGGTGGAGCATGTGCTCTGGAGTCCAAGGGTCTGGTAGTGAGAGCTCATGGACTCCAGAACTGGGGTTCAGTAGTTGTGGTACTGGGCTTACTTGCTCCGAGGCATGTGGAATCTCCCCAGATCAGAGATGGAATTCACATACCCTGCATTGGCAGGGGTTTCTTAGCTACTGGAGCACCTGGACAGTCCTGGTTAGTGCTCTTGAAGTCCCCGTCCACCTGGAGACAGTCCTGAGAGGCTGGGGCTGAACACGCAGGGCTGAGATGCTCTGGCTGTGTCGTTCTTCTTGTTGTTGTTCAGTCGCTAAATCGTGTCCAGCTGTTTGCAACTCCATGGACCGCAGCATGCCAGACTTCCCTGTGCTCCTCTGCCTCCCGCAGTTTGCTCAAGGTCATGTCCACCGAGTCAGTGGTACTGTCTAACTGTCTCATCGATAGCTCTGGCTATGACGGAAGTTGGATCTGCTTCTCTACCATTGGCTGCTGAGGGAAGCTTCTCTCCCGTTTTCCAAGGCTGGTCTCTGGATGCTGGATAAGACCTTGACCCATTAGACTTCACTTTGTTCTTGGACCCATTTCACTCTAGGTCGGGGACCCAGTACATATGAAGAACGTGTACTGGAGAAAAGATCTAGGGCAGGGGGAAAGGCACAGCCCATGGAATATCAGTGGTGAAAGGAAAAAACAGTAAATTTGTTGGACAAAAGAAAGCATATAGAGCAGAGGGCAGAATGGCCACCTGGAGTACAGCCATCTGCCGCATGCCTTCTACTGCCATTAATTAGGCATGGGTTTCTAGACAGTGAAGGAGTTGAGGGCGAGGATGATAAATTTAGGAGTCCAAATGGCCGCGTGGCCACATGCTTGGGTTTTTTAATATTCATAAGTATTTTCTTGAATATGCAGGATCTCATTAAAATCAGTTTGTGTCACAGAGGACCTGAAGGACCATGGTGGGTCCCAAATAGAGGAAACAGGTAAGTTTATGGCTTTTTCTAAGCTCAAGAAAAGGTGGTAAAAAGACAGGTAAGGGTTTTTGGTTTGTTTTATTCATCAGTTCCATTTCAAGTAGCAGGAGTGTACTCAAACCATGATGATAGGTATTCATTGGTCCTGTAACTATACAGTTGTGGATTTCAGGAATGCTTATATCCAGGAACTCAAATGAGATCTTTGGAGATCTATATCTCGCTTCATCCTTAATGCTGACTTGGCTTTGTCTTTATTCTACACTGGCTTCTTGCATGCGGAGAACATGATTTATGTTCCACTGGCCAGACTCATACCTCCCTTGTTTGTGGCTTCAGTGTAAAGAGGCTAAGTCTCTAGACACTGCAGGTCAAAAACACCTGGCGGAACTCTCACTGGCCGGATCTGAGTCATTGTCCCGTTCTTAAGGCTAGAGGGCTAGAGAGGGGGTCAGTCTCACCGAAACTCCTTGGAATGGGTCCTCCGTAGACCAGAAGTGCTCTGTTTTCAGAAGGAAGGGGGAAATGAGGACAAACAAAATAGTCAGATGTCTGTTAGAACTGTCCAGCGACTCTGACCAGGATTAGAAAGGGACTGAGACTAGGGGCAGATGCTACCCCCAGGAGTAAAGACCAAGCTGTTGGCTAGAACTTTTTGTATCCTGTGTAATTCAAGAAACACTCTGACGTGGTCACAGTGTAGGAAGCTGAGAAACTCATGAATGCGTCTTTGACTCTATTCTGCTGTGGATCATGGAAACCCACCCATTGGCCTCACCCTGTGCCTAACATGCTTGAATTACCATTTTCCAGCCCAGAGGTTCTTTAGGTTGGGGAACAGGTGATGGTGATGCTTCTCAGTGTTTGAAAACTACTGACTTACACTAAGAAATCCAAAACATTGTATTCAGAAGTTCTCCTTGGGTATCTTGTGGCTTTAAATATACATGTTGAACTTTTTGTTGAAACATGATATACATACAAAAAGTGCACATATTATGAGTGGATAGTTTGGTTAACTTTCACAGGCTGACTGTAACCATGGAACCAGTCTTCAGATGAAGAAGCAAAACATTTCTTTTTTTTTTTTTTCATTTATTTTTATTAGTTGGAGGCTAATTACTTTACAATAGACTCTTGTCACTTCTTTTTTTTTTTCATTTATTTTTATTAGTTGGAGGCTAATTACATCATTGCAGTGGTTTTTGTCATACATTGAAATGAATTAGCCATGGATTTACATGTATTCCCCATCCCGGTCCCCCCTCCCACCTCCCTCTCCACCCGATCCCTCTGGGTCTTCCCAGTGCACCAGGCCCGAGCACTTGTCTCATGCACCCAACCTGGGCTGGTGATCTGTTTCACCCTAGATAATATACGTGTTTCAATGCTGTTCTCTTGAAACATCCCACCCTCGCCTTCTCCCAGAGTCCACAAGTCTGTTCTATACATCGGAGTCTCTTTTTCTGTTTTGCATATAGGGTTATCATTACCATCTTTCTAAATTCCATATATATGTGTTAGTATACTGTAATGGTCTTTATCTTTCTGGCTTACTTCGCTCTGTATAATGGGCTCCAGTTTCATCCATCTCATTAGAACTGATTCAAATGAATTCTTTTTAATGGCTGAGTAATATTCCATGGTGTATATGTACCACAGCTTCCTCATCCATTCGTCTGCTGATGGGCATCTAGGTTGCTTCCATGTCTTGGCTATTATAAACAGTGCTGCGATGAACATTGGGGTGCACGTGTCTCTTTCAGATCTGGTTTCCTCGGTGTGTATGCCCAGAAGTGGGATTGCTGTGTCATATGGCAGTTCTATTTCCAGCTTTTTAAGAAATCTCCACACTGTTTTCCATAGTGGCTGTACTAATTTGCATTCCCACCAACAGTGTAAGAGGGTTCCCTTTTCTCCACACCCTCTCCATCATTTATTGCTTGTAGACTTTTGGATAGCAGCCATCCTGACTGGTGTGTAATGGCACCTCATTGTGGTTTTGATTTGCATTTCTCTGATAATGAGCGATGTTGAGCATCTTTTCATGTGGGAAAACATTTCTAGTAGCCAGAAGCACCCCCCACCCTGTAACCTCTTCTGGTCACACTTCTCTTGCCAAGGGTGATCACTATCTTTGAACAGCACAAATTTGTTTTTTCCTATTTTTTATAATTTATATATATGTGATTATACAGGGCTTCCCAGGTTGAGTTAGTGGTAAAGAACTTGCCTGCCAATGTAGGAGACATGAGAAACTTGGGTTCGATTCCTGGGTCAGGAAGATCCTCTGGAGGAGGGCATGGCAACCTGCTCCCATATTCTTATCTGTAGAATCCCGAAGACAGAGGAGCCTGGCAGCCTGGAGTCCATAGGGTCGTACAGAGTCACACACGACTGAAGCGACTTAGCACACGGCATGCACATTATTATACAGTTTATATTCTTGAATGTTTATCTTTTTTCTTCAATGTTGTATATACATAGGATTTATCTGTGTTATGTTTATAGTGTAGTTTGTTCATTCTATATTCTACAATCTGTTACCACATAGTGCCTCATTGCTTATTTATACGACATACTCTAAGGATGTGTGGGTGTTTCCCATTTGGAGTGTTTACTGCTGTGGACGATGAATATTCTAATTCATGTCTCTGAGTAAACATATATAAACATTTCTGTTTGGGTTGTATGTAAAAGTGGGAGCTCACGGCTTTACATATTTGGGGCTATTATTAACAAATAAGATTGCCCTTTAAATAAGTTATCTTTGACATTTAATGATAGCCTCTAAGGTATTGCATCGCCTTCTTCATATTCTGGGTGTTGTCCACAGCCCGAAGGGTGCTACTCCATGTCTACAATCAGAATAAGACGAGGGGGCTGACACTGGTTGCCCAATAAAAAGTCATGAGTCTTTTCTCATGGATCTGAATCAATTCTCAGACAGGAATTCACTGACTGAAGAGGTAGCCAGGTCCTCAGTAGCAGGGATCCCGAAATGGCAAGTTATGCTGTAAGAAAGGATTCTTAGTCATTTCCAAGGGCTGTTGTTTGTTGTTCAGTAGCTTAGTTGTGTCCGAAAGACTCTTTGCAACCTCATGGACTGCAAAGCAATCCAGGCTTCCCTGTCCTTCACCATCTCCTGCAGTGGCAGATGGAGCTTGGCTCCCTGGAGTTTGTTCAAACTTATCTCCTGGCGTTTGTTCAAACTCATCTCCATTGAGTCAGTGATGCCATTTAACCACCTCATTCTCTGTTGCCCCCTTTTCCTCCTGCCCTCAATCTTTCCCAGCATCAGGGTCTTTTCTGGTGAGTTGGTGCTTGATTTCCAAGGGAATCTATGGCTATTTTCTTGGAGAAAGGTGAATACTCAGATACTTCGAGGATTGTTGAATACAGATTCTGAGTTGCTATTGACATTTGGAGACCTGAAGCAAAAAATGGAGTTCTGGCTAAAGTCTGACTTACAGTGGGTTCCCTGGGCCTGCAGTCCCATCTGGTGGACATTTTTTCTGTCTTTGAGTATGTAACTGGGATTGATCCTCTTGGCAGCTGGAGTGATCTTCCCATTGGCCATTGGCCTGTGGAATAAGAGTTATCATAGTGGGGAAGGTCAAGAGAAGGCCCTGAAATGGCACCCTGTCCAACTGTCCACTCCCAGCCGGACAGCAAATCAAAACCAGCATTGCATCCTGCGGATAAGAGTGGGAGTGGGGGGAGGTAAAGATGAATGCCGTTGTTAAAAATCTAAAGCGGGGTCTCCAACTCCCAGGCTGTGGACTGTTAGGAATTGGGCTGCATAGCAGGAAGTGAGCAGAGGGTGAGGGAGCCAAGCTTCATCTGCCACTCCCCATCACTCACATTACCCTGCCCCATCCCCACACCCCTATGGGAAAATTGTCTTCCATGAAACCAGTCCCTGGGATCAAAAACATTGGTGACCACTGATCTAAAGGATGCAAGGGTGCAGGGGATGTGGGTGGTCCTGATTATATGTGAGTGGTCAGTTACTGTCCAACTCTTTATGACCCCATGGACTGTAGCCCACCAGGTTCCTCTGTTTGTGGGGTTCTCCAGGCAGGAATACTGGAATGGGTTGCCATTTCCTTCTCCAAGGGATCTTCCCAACCCACGTCTCCTGCTTTGGCAGGTGGATTCTTTACCACTGAGTCACCAGGGAAGCCCATAGACATTTATTTAGTTTTGCCCCAGGGATATGTTAATCCTCCTACCCTCTGTTATATATGGTCTGGATGTAGATACAGACCATCTGAAGTCCTGGAGAATATCACAGTGATCCATTATATCCCTGACACTGTTCCGATCAGGCAGATGAGCAGGAGGTGGCTAATAGGCTGGCAGCAGATGGCAGGAGAGAGGGCAGGAGGAGAGGGTGTGCAGACTCTCAGACTGCAGCGCGGCTCTGAGAATGTCCTGACCGGGCTGATGTGGAGCTTCAAGGCCGTGGGGGACTGACCGGCGGCCCCCATGGGCAGGGAGGGCCCAGCTTTAAAACCCTGGTGTGTGCGGCCGTCAGCAGGCTGAGGAAAGCACGCCTTCCGCAGTCACAGACGTGGCAGCTGGGCTGTCGGCTCCCTGTCCTCCTCACAGGAGGCTCCCTGCTGAAGGGAGCCCTAAGCAGTGAATCGGCGTGGTTTTCACCGCAGTCCGTACCGACTGGATCACACGGATGCACTCCATCATTTTTCAGGGTGCAGCTCTCCCTCAGTTCCCATAGACCACTCCCCGAAGGGACACTTAGAAGAGGGAGTTTAGTGACATAAACCGCGGCCCCCACTGCTGCAGCTGGCCTTCGGGTCACACTGGCATTTATCTTGCCGCTCCCCCACTGTGCCCTCTGAAGACGCCACATCCCATGCCATCACCTTGGCGGGTGTTGGTGGCTTCCTTACCTGGTGGTGCAACTCAAACGTTCATTCCTGGGGTCCCCAGTCCTTGGAGTCGGACCCTTCTCAGTGTGGGGCTGCTGCACAAGTCCATGCCCA